TATCTATCTATCTATCTATCTATCTATCTATCTATCTATCTATCATCTATCTATCATCTATATCTTTTATATCTCTATTTATTCTACCTGTCTATATCTATCCTTATCTTCTTATCTGTCTGTCTCTATCTCTATATCTGTCTGTCTCTCTCCCTCTCTCCATCCATCTCCCTCTCTCTTTTCTCTGTCTCTCTATCCATCCATCCATTCATTAATCCATCCTCTCCTCCCACTCTCTCTAATCTCTGTCTCTCCATCCATCCATCCATTTTCTCTCTCTCTCACCTCTCTGTCTCTCTCTCTCCATCCATCCATTCTCTCTGTGTGTGTGTCTCTCTCTGTCTCTCTCTCTCCATCCATCCATCCATTTTTTTCTGCTATTGTATTGTATTCTTGTGAATCACCGGAAGAGTGAAAACGCACAATAGGCAGCTTTCTACAGGTCTACTCACCCGACGGTCATCGTATTGGGAGTGGACAGTCCGGATCCTTCCATGTGGAAAGTGGCTCGGGTCAAAGTCACAGGAAGGGGGTTCTTGAAGACAATCTGGACTTGAGTCTCTTGTCCAACGATGGCCGGGCCCAGCAGCTGTGTGGGAAGAGAGGAAGAGGATGAGGGACGATGAAGGATGGTTGCGAACGGATCCTCCAGAGGCCGTGAAAGAGAACACACAGGTGGCCCTTGACTTAAGAGTCCTTCATTCAGCGACTGTGCAAAGTCGCAACCGAGCCAGAATTCCCACGGTTGCGCGACCAAAATTCAGACGCTCGGCAACCAGCATGTATTTGCAACGTTTTCCCGCCTCCCAGGATCACGTGATCACCATTTTTGACCTCCCCAGTTGGCGTCCGACGAGCACAGTGGACGGGGGAAGCCAGACTCACTCAAAGAACCGCACGATTCACTTAACAACGGCATTGCTCCCGCCGCGGGGGAAAAAGAAGGTTGTAAAATCGGTGAAACCTTCGCCTTCTTTAGCGACATAAATTCCGGTCCCTCTTGCGGATGTAGGGCGAGGACGTCCCCATTCCCTAGAGGTAGTCCTCAACTTACAACGGTTCATTTAATGCCCGTTCCAAGTTGCAACGGCACCGAAAAAAAATGTGACTTGTACGACCATTTTTCACAGTTACGACCATGGCAGCCTTTGTGATCAAAATTCAAGCTGCTTGGCAATTGACTCACAATTATGACGGTTACGGGGTCACTTTGCGACCTCCGGACAAACAAAGCTCAATTCACTTAACGCAATGCAGGGATTCGCTTAACAAATGTGGCGAGAAAGATCGTAAAATGGGGCAAGACTCACTTAACAAACGTTTCATTTAACAGCCAAAACACTGGGCTCAACTGTGGGTCATAACTCGAGGCCTACCTGTATTAAATAAATATATTTACATATGTTTGCTTCCCTGTTGCAAAGATACTGTATCTCCAAAGGAAAATTCTACAGCTAATTTTGCAAAGGGAAATAATCCTATGGGTAGTATGTTTACAAACAGCTGAATAGTATGGCTGTACTCCCAGTGGCCCTCCCCTACAGAATACAGATCATCCTCGCTTAGCGACCACATTGGCACCGGTTGTTAACTAAAGTGGTCGCTAAGTGAAACTTTGCTTATCGCCTTTCTAGAGCTTCCCTTGGCTTGACAGACCTGCGAAGGTCGTAAAGACGAAGAGTGGTCCTTATATATATATTTTTGCCGCCGTCGTAACGGTGAACGATCTCCAAAAAAGTCAGTCGTTAAACGAGGACTAACATAGAATGCCGTTCCCCTTATTATCCCAAAGAGCATATCTCTTAACCGGAACTGGTAGCTCCAAATTTGGGGACAGCTGCAACAATACATTTCTCTAAATATCATCCTAATCTTCTGGGCTCAGAAGATCTCACCCTCCTCGTCCAAACTAATTTGTCGGACATGGCTGGTGAAGAGTCGTACCGTCAGGGTGAGGTCCGGGGTGCGAAGACGGAAAGTGTGCTCCTTCGCGATGACCTGTCCGGTTTCGGTGACTTTCCCGGAGATGCTGAGCTTCATGGCTCCTTGGTCTACCAGATGGGGCTTGTACTCGGGATAGGAGATGACCATTGGAACCTGTTGAGCTGCAAGAAGGACAGGAGACAAATTTGGGGTCAGGTAGGCGGAGACCCCCTGGATAAACAAATACCAAGATTTCCTTTCCTTGTTTCGCACAGCATATTGCAGCACATTCCTTCCTGATAATTGATGAAGAAGGTGGCCTTTTGTTAGAAATTCTGTTTATATGTAGCACCACAGCTCAAACAAGGGGCACAGTCACCATGTGCTTTACTGCTCAGCTACTTTAACTCTTAACAGGAAACTCTACTTAGAACAAAAGAGTCTATACCATAGATCCAAACTTGAAAACACTGCCATCTACTGGCTGAATATTACCATAACTCCCGCAAAAACAACAACATTCCAACAATGAATTCCAACACCCTCAACCGCCTCAGGTCCTTTCCAGTTTTGGCACCAGATGCCATGCCTCGGGCGGCCGGAGACGGTTACCTCCTCCTGCAGGAATCTGGACTTGCCGCTGCTCCTGTTTAAAATTGCTACTGGTTACTCCTGTGTAATACATGACCGCCACAAAGAGGTTGAGAGAGACGGTGCGAGGCATGGAACTCTTGTTCTTCAGGATGACCCTCAAGGAGACGTCCTGTCCGGCGAAGGCCTCTTGGGTGTCGACCGTCACCGAGATGTCTTCTCCCCACTCCTTGTTGGTGTAGATATGGGCCTTGGTGCCGTGCTTGGCGGCGGTTTCTACTGCTTTGCGCTCGGCTTCCGTTCCTGCAGGGAGAAAGAACGGAGGAATCGAAACAGAGTCCCTCTCCCGAAGAGAGAGATCCGAAGACGACTTTGCGGAAATATGCCATTTTTAGGGCAGTCAGCGATAGTTGCTAACCAGAAGTGGTATTCAGCTGGTTCTGTATGGTTCGGGCAAACCGTTAGCGGTGACTGTGGGAGGCTATGCCTACCCACCCCGACGTAATGTGTGCGCACTGCGCTCACATTTGCGAACCGGTAGGAAAAGTGAGTGAATCTCACCGCTGATGCTAACGCAGGTAGTCCTCGACTTATGACCGCGATTGAGCCCAAACTTCCTGTTGTTCAGCAAGACATTTATTAAGTGAATTTTGTCTTATTTTATGAGTGACTGAATCCCTGCAGTTGTTAATGACAGGGTCGTTCAGTGAGTCTGGCCTCCCCGTCAACTTTGCTAGTCAGAAGGTCACAAAAGTGACCCCGGGACACTGCAACTGTTGTAAATACGAGTCAGTGACCAGCAACTGAATGTTGATCTCGTGACCACAGGGTTGCCAGGGTGAAAAACAGTGATACGTTACTTCTTTTCGCTATCGTCGTAGCTTCGAATGGTCAATAAACGAAATGTCATAAGTCGTGGACTGCCTGTACTTTTGTTACCACAGTGCCCATCCTTCTCCGCTCAACGTCGTCTTACCTTCGGGGTGCTTGTAAAGGCCGGTGATGTCGTGGCGTTGGTGGGATCCCACAGCTTTGGTGCTGATGAGATGTCCGATGGCTTTTTCTTCTACGTAGACGATCTTGAAGCTGCCATCCCCTTGGCGTTGCCAATACACCTTGTCGCTGTTCACCTGAGGAGACAAAGGGTCACCAATCTGCCCTCCTGCCGATTTTCTGCCCCGCCGTGCCCGGAGGACCGATCCTGACTAAGCCTAACAACCTGCCTTCCATGGAGGACCTGCACACTGCACGAGTCAAAAAGAGGGCCCTGTAGAAAATATCTACAGACCCCTCACGTCCTGGACATCAATTGTTTCAACTCCTACCCTCAAAACGACGTTATCGAGGCGTGATGGCAAACCTAGGGCACACGTGGCATCGTCCGTTCCTCTTCCGGGTTTCTGGCGTGCATGCGTGTTCAATGATCAGCCAGCCTTCGCGTGTGAAGAGTCCCGGAAACTGGAAGAGCCGGTCTACTTCCGGTTTGCGGTGCATGCGTACCAGCTAGCTGATTGTCGTACAGGCGTGCGTGCCAGAAACTGGAAGAGCCGGTCTACTTCCGGTTTGCGGTGCATGCGTACCAGCTAGCTGATTGTCGTACAGGCGTGCGTGCCAGAAACTGGAAGAGCCGGTCTACTTCCGGTTTGCGGTGCATGCGTACCAGCTAGCTGATTGTCGTACAGGCGTGCGTGCCAGAA